AGGGGCTGTGTGCTGAAGACTGGGGGGCAAACTTGCAGGGTACACCCTTTGGTTGGTTAATGATGCATGGAGGGGATTGTAACCATGGCAATGAAACGATATACCATAGGATGAATGTAAAGCTAATGTTCTCCCATGTAAACTATCACATAATTCACAATAAAACATTTTTTTAAATTATATTAATACTACCAACAAAATTGTTTTGTAGAATCTTTCTACACTGAATTACATTATTGGTTAGTAGCTGAGAGGAAGCCTTTTTTTAGTTTGCTCCTTTTTTTCCTTTAATTACTACTTCCTTCTCAAACAAGGTATTGATATAGGTTCACAATACTAATTACCACAATATTATTGCTAAAATACCAGAAAATTTTATCATTTCAGTGACTATAAAAATACAAACAGCAAGAAAAACAACAGCATGTGCTTGTAGCAGGTGCAAATAGAACCACATGATTCCAATCATCTTTGTAACTGAGTAATAATGACAGCTCTGTCAGGAGTCCATTGCAAGTTTCCAAAGTAAATTAGCTTAGAATTTTAGCCTTTTAGATACATACTGATATTGTTGTTGTTAAGTGCCATCGAGTCGGTTCTGACCCATAGCGACACTGCACAGGGTTTCCAAGGCTGTAAATCTTTTAGATACCTTGTTAAATCTCAACATCCCAGTGAGATGAACTATATAGTGGATTGAATTGTGTCTTCCAAAATGATGTGTGGAGTCCTAAGCCTTTGTTATTGGTGTTAAGTGCCATTGAGTCGGTTCTGTATAGGGTTTCCCAGGAGCAACTGGTGAGTTTGAACCACCAACCTTGCTTGTCCTACAGTTCTGCACCAGTGAATGTGACCTTGTTTAAAAACAGGGTCTTTAAGGATGTTATCAATTAATATGATGTCATAGTAGACTTGGGTAGATTCTAATCTAATCTGAGTAATATGTTAATAAAAGAAGAGAAGAGATACAGAGACAAAAGACACAGAGAAAACAGCCATGTGGCCAGGGTGTTTTATTGCAGCTGCAAGCCAAGAAGCTGCTGAGGCTAGCTGGGAGAGACAAGGGAAGATCTACATCTAGAGCCTTCAGAAAGAGCATGGCCCTGCCAGCAACCTGACTTCAAATTCCTAGCCTCCAGAACTGTGAGATAGTAGCTTTCTATCCTTATTGTTGTTGTTATGTGCCATGGAGTCAGTTCCGACTCATAGTGACCCTGTACAGAGTTTCTGAGGCTGAAAATTTTTAAAGGAGCAGAATGCCTCATCTTTCTCCCGCGGAACAGCTGGTAGTTTCGAACTGCTGACCTTGCAGCTCGCAGCCCGATTCGTAACCACTATGCTATCAGAGAGATCCTTATTAGCCACCTGATTTGTAGTACTTTGTTGTGGTAGCCATAGGAGTCAATAGAGTGATGATTTGCTTTTCACTAATTCAGATAGATTTGAATTTGTCAGTGAGCTAGCTGCTCAAAGTCACACACAGAAAGTTGAAGGGAATTTGAACGCACATCTTCTGACTCCAAGTGAAGGTTCTTGCTATGACAGTTCACTCAGGTCCTGACAGCTTGAGTTTCTGTTCTCACACCTAGATGAGGGAACATTTTGGCCCAATTTGTTGTTGGTGTTGTTGTTAGGTGCTATCCAGTCTGTTCCGGTTCCGACTCATAGCAACTGTATGCACAACAGAATGAAACACTGCCCGGTCCTGCACATCCTCACAATTGTTGTTAGCCTTGAACCCAGTACTGCTGCCACTGTGCCAATCCATCTCGTTGAAGGTCTTCTTCTTTTTCACTGACCCTCCACTTTACCAAACGTTATGTCCTTCTCTGGGAACTGGTTTCTCCTGATAACGTGACCGAAGTACAAGAGACAAAGTCTCACCATCCTGGCCTCTAAGGAGCATTCTGGCTGTACTTCTTAGAACACAGATTTGTTTGCTTTTCTGGCAGTCCATGGTACTTCCAATATTCTTCTCCAATACCATAACTAAAATGCATCAATTCATCAATTCCTTATTAATTGCCCAACTTCCATATGCATAGGGTCAGACACATCTTAGTCCTCAAACTGGTATCTTTGCTCTTGAACACTTTTTAAAAAGGTCTTATGCAACAGATTTGTCTACTGTAGTATGACGTTTGATTTAGTGACTACCGTTTCCATAAATGTTGATTGTAGATCCAAGCAAAATGCAGCCCTGTTGATTGTAGATCCAAGCAAAATGCAGCCCTGTTGATTGTAGATCCAAGCAAAATCCAACAACTTCAATCTTTTCTCCATTAGTTATTGTTGTTGTTATGTGCCATGGAGTCGATTCCAACCCTTAGCAACCCTGTACAGGGTTTCCAAGGCTGTAAATCTTTACGGGAGCAGAAAGCCTCATCTTTCTCCCATGGAACACCTGATAGTTTCAAACTACTGGCCTTAAGATTCGCAGCCCAATTCGTAACCACTATGCTACCAGAGCTCCTTTTTCTCCATTTATCATAATTTTATTTATTGGTCCAGTTGTGAGGACTTTTGTTTTCTTTACTCTGAGATGCAATCCATACTGAAGTCTGTGATCTTTGCTCTTCATCAATATTTTAAATCCTCTTTCAGAAAGCAAGATTGTATCCTATACATATCAAAGATTGTTAATGAGTCTTCCTCCAATCCTGATGCCATGTTCTTCATATAATCCAATTTCTCAGAATATTTGCTTAGCATACAGATAGAATAATTATGGTGAAAGAATGCAGCCCTCTGGTGCACACCATTCCTGATTTTAAACCATTCAGTATCCCCTTGTTCTGGTCTAACAACTGCCTCTTTGTGTACAGATTCCTCTTGAGCACAATTAAGTGACCCAACTTGTTGTTGTTGTTGTTAAGTGCCTTTGAGTCGGTTCCGACCCATAGCGACCCTGTACAGGGTTTCCGAGGGTGTAAATCCTTATGGGAGTAGAAAGCCTCATCTTTCTCCCGCGGAGCGACTGGTAGTTTCGAACCGCTGACCTTATGGTTCGCAGCCCGATTCGTAACCACTACGCTACCAGAGTGACCCAACTAGTCAACGTAAAAGGCTTAACATGTCTTGTAAGATGTCTGTAGTACTACACTGAGGAGCAAAGGCCTCGAAAACAGACTGCCCAGGTTCAAATCCAACCTCTGCCACTTTCTAGCTGGGTGAACTTGAACAAGTCATTCAACCCTTCCTTGCTCAGTTCTCCCCTCTGTACAATGAAGTTGATTGGGGGTGGGGCAAACATACTTCCAGAGTTGTGTGATGATTAAATCACTTAACTGATCTAAAGAATTTAGCACATTGTCCCTTCGCTGAAGTTTTCTCAGCCTCTTCCTAATAGTAATAATGTACTAGAGGTAGTGATAATAAGTTTCCTCATAAAAATAATAACATAAGGAGAGCCTGGCTTAAGGACCTCAGTCTTGGAAACTCTGTCCTTCATAAAGAGGGCAAATGAGAAACGAAAGCAGACAGTCATAGTGCAAGATTCCTCTTGGGAAAACAAGACAATTGAAGAAGCTCAGACTTCTACTTTCTTTCTTTTCATTATTTCTAAAGAAAAAAGTCATCAGCATGAGCCCAAGGAGAAGATCCCCTTCCGGGGAAATGAGGCACTGAGAGGGAGGACTGAGGTTGGCATGGTCTGTCCCTCCCCTTGTAATGTTTCCCACTCGAGAAACGCAGGACCGAGACAGTGTGCCAAGGACAGGGCGACTCCAATTCTCCTGAGCAATGGGGTATCTCTCCGCAGATTCTCCTTGTCGCGCGCGCGCGTGTGCGTGTGCAAGGAGAGGCGCACACAAGTTCAGCCCTGGAAAATGGTGTCCTTCCTCCCTAGGGCTGCATAGCAGCCCATCCCCGCAGCACACAGGCCAGATCGGCGCCGCCCGGGTCCAAGAGAGGCCGCTTGCCCTCTGCGGCAGAACGCGGTGCGCGCTCTCCTTCCTCGTCTCGCCCGGTGGCCCGCGCGCCCTCTCGGTGCAGCGGGCTCTGTGACGTTCTCGGATAAATGCCGTGTAACTGTGTAGGCGAATGGGAGCTAAAAATAAGAACGGAAAATCTATCATTAAGGTATCATTGCGCCAGCGCAGCTATTTGAAGGCTCCCATGGTCCCCGGCGCCTGCGTTTGAAGCCCGCCTTCAGGCTTTGGGGGATATTTGCAGAAAACTCCCAGCAGCGGCTCGCCAGTCAGACCTCAGGGCGCAAGGGGTGGCGCCGGTAATTATGGCAACGCTCAAAATAAAATAAAATAAGTCTTTACCTCTCCCTTCCTACCCCACTCCCCGCATTGTCCTCAGGCCTCCAGGGAAGCTCCCGGGATTGGGATTCGATGCTGCAACGAATGTGACCTGGTCGGATACGCAAAGATTAAAACTAGAAGAGCTTTCAGCCCTTCCCTTAACCCCTGTTCTACCTCGAACTAGGAAAATAAAGCACGGGGGAAGGTGGGGAGCCTTTGGAGAAGAAAAGGACAGATGGGACTTCACCCCGGGTCTACAGTGCGCCGTGGCGGGGTGTAAAGATGCAAACTCCTGATTGGTGAGCCTTTGGGGTTCCGTTGTTGTTGTTGTTAGGTGCCATGGAGTCGGTACCGACCCATAGCGACCTTATGCCCAGCAGAACAAAACACTGCCGGATCCTGGGCCACCCTCACTACTGTTGCTACGCTTGAGTCCATCGATGCGGCCACTTGGCCAATCCATCTCGCTGGGGGTCTTCCTCTTTTTCCTGACCCTCCACTTTACCAAACATGACATCCTTCTCCAGCGACTGGTCCCTCCTGACAATATGGGGTTCTATTAGGTTAAATGAAAATTGATCTGATTTGCTTTATAAACATCCAAAGAGGGTAAGAGAAGACCCGGACTTGGGGAGCAGGATGTGTGTGTGTGTGTGTGTGTGTGTGTGTGTGTGTGTGTGTGTGTGTCCAAGGAGGGGGAGGGGCGCGAAGGTGCAGCCTGAGAGCGGCTCTGCGCCTCCGTGGGACTGCGTGCGTGTGTCCCTGTCCTCACTGCTGAAACGGGCTCTTCGAGGGATCGGCGTCACATGACTCCGCCTGCCCCTCACCAGCGCACAGCTCACCAGTCCCTCAGTTTGCCCGTCGCCTGGGGAGGGTCTGGCGGCATCTACTTAGACTGGGGACGCTGCGGAGTTGCGGAGTAGAGGAGAGGAGTGGGCAGGGAATGGCTCATCTTGACTCTGGAAGCCGAGGTCCGGCGCCAGATCCCTGAGTGTAGACATTTGGGGGAGGGAGGGAAGAAAGAGGGGGTGGGGGGAGCGAACTAGCGAGAGCCAGAGAGAGGCAGCGCGTAGAGCGCACCGACTGGGGTCTGCGGAGTGTCGGGCGGAGAAGATGTAAGCGCGTGGGGTCTCGCTGGCCTCCGAACACCATGCAGAAGGGGATCCGACTGAACGATGGCCACGTTGCGTCCCTGGGACTGCTGGCGCGCAAGGACGGTACGCGCAAGGGCTACCTGAGCAAGCGGAGTTCTGACAACACAAAATGGCAAACCAAGTGGTTCGCGCTGCTGCAGAATCTGCTCTTCTACTTCGAGAGCGACTCGAGCTCGCGGCCCTCGGGGCTCTACCTTCTAGAGGGCTGCGTCTGCGACCGCGCGCCCTCCCCGAAACCCGCGCTTTCGGCCAAGGAGCCGCTGGAGAAACAGGTGAGACGAGCGCAGTGCTCTGACCTCTTCGAATCTAGACCGCGGTCCTCCGGGTGAGGAACCTTCAGCCGACCGCTGGTGCCCGAACTTTGGTCCCCCTACGGTCGTCGCCCTCGGAGGGAGGGGAGGGTTGGCCCCAGTCCAGTGGGTAACCCTGCGGCGAGCAAAGGGGGCAGGGACTGCGGACCAGGAGTAAAGGGGAGTGCGGGCTGCAGCTACCGTTAGCTTTAGGAGCTGAACCCTGTGGGAGGCCGGGGCATGGATGCCACGGAGACCCGGAGATACGGAGGGAGATGATGTCCCAGGAATTAAACAGAGATGAGGAATCTGGACCCAGGTGCAACCAAAAATGATCCTTCCAACCTCCTCTCCCACCAACCTACCCACTCCCTCTAGTCCCGGACAGCCGAAGATTGTCAGCTCCAGACTAGGGGTAGTGTGGGGGGTAATTCTCAGAACACGGCTTGGACAGGTTACACCAAAGCGTGCGAGCTCTGAGGCCACCTGCCTCGCAGCACCTGGGGAAGAAAAGGAGACTGCGCTTGCTCCTCTGAGTTGGGGGTTGCGGAGCCGCAGGGTAGGTTGGGTGCAACCGAGCGGTGGCCGACTCCCAGCCCGAGCAGCAAACCGAGAGGTTCGGAAAAAGCGCTCTGATACGTGGAGACTAGGACCCAGGCTCCTGCAGAGGCCTTGGGAAAAGTGGGCGCTTCTCCCTCCCCCGCCCCCTGCGCCGTCGCCGCCGCCGCCGCCGCATTCACAGCTGAAGCGCTGCCCTGGCGTTTACTGAGCTGCACAGCTGAAGGCCAGGCCTGGACTTGCCAGGAGCTTAAGCAGGCTGCGTCTTTAGCTTGGGGAGCGAGAAATAGGACAGAGGCACCTGGAGCGGCAAGGTCGGAATAACCCAGACCGCGAGAAAGCAATTTGTAAGCGAGATGCCTTCTCCAAAGGCATGTGGTCCAAGCCCCTGCCTCTGGGATGGTAAAGTAAATAATAATGGACCCTAAAATGTCACCGCTGGGAGGGACCTGAGATCAATTGGACTCAACCAGCTGCTTAGTGCCTAGATGAGGGCACTGAGACCCAGAGAGAGGACACTTCACCAATTTTATTCCTGCAGTTAGGGCCACCTCAAGGTTTGGGAAGGCAGCTGAGATCTCAAAAACCTTGCTACACGCAGATTGCTGGTGGTGGAAGGGCTGAAATGAAGTCTGTTCTCCTTCTGGCTGTCTCCCCTCTAAATAACAACACAGAGACCTGAGCTCAGTCTCCAACACACTCCCTCCTCCCCTGCCCCTTGACCTGCTGGTGTTGGGAAATGTTTTCTGGGGGCTGGAAAACATGCACAGGAATTTTTCAGGTGGGTCTTTGGGAATGACAAGCCTCACTATGGCAAAGCATAGCAAAGAGCAGGCAGTTCCCAAGCTTAGATCACACATGGAACCTTTTCAGCCTTGCAAAACATTGCAAAACCCTCTGTGGCCAAGGTCCACGTGTACCTACTAGTGAGCCTACCTCCACCCTTCAGCTGAGTTCCTGGGCAGTCAGAAAGGGAAGGATGGGAGAAGCCAAGTTGGTATTGGGCTCCAAATGTTCTTTTTCAGCATCTTAGACACAAATCAGAAAGACCTGAGACTGCATCTGAGTGACCACTTCCTGGCTGTGTGACCTCCATTAACGATTTAAACTTTGCTGAGCCTCCATTTTGTAATCTGCAAATTGATAGTAACACCAGCTGTTCTGAAGTGTGAGAAAACTAAATTAAGTAATGGTATGTGAAAGTATGCTCAGAACACATTTTAGATTAATCTGGATCGCTCTAAGTGGAATCTGAATTTATGTTCACCTGGGAAGTTTGAATCCACCACTGGGAAAAACAAGTAAGAAGTCTACTTCCCTAAAGATTTATAACCTTGGGAACCCTAGGAAACAACTACTCTGTCCTATGTTGTTAGGTGCCATCGAGTTGGTTCCAACATAGCAACCCTGTATAGGGTTTCCGAGGAGCAGCTGGTGAGCTTGAACCAACTAACTTTGCAATCCAGCGCATTAACCCACAGCACCACACTAGGACTCTGTCCTATAGGGTTTCTGTAAGTTTCTATAAGTCAGAATCGAATCAATGGCAGTGGGTCTGGTTTTGGTTGGGCCTTTTTTGGTCTAAAGGCTTTAGGTCACAGACTGTCAAAGCTTAAAGCAACTGCACAGGTTGTCTAGCTCATCCTTTCCATTGAATAGAACCAGGGCCAGAGAGGAAAAGGGTTACACCAATCACTGAAACAGCAAGTCAATGGCAGAATCAGACCCAGACTTCATGCAGTGTCTAAGACTTCCTAAAAATGAGACCCTACATAATTGATTCCAAATAGGGGCAGAGTACCCAGTAATCAAGGTAAGCATGGGTTTACTTGTGCTTAGTTATGGCTCTGTAGTGAACAATTTCACATGAGTTTTACCACCTCAAGATGTGAAACTATTCACTACAGATTAGTAAGTATGTATAAGTAAGCCAATGTTTACTTGATTTACTAAGTACGCCATCCCTGTCAGGAATTGTAAACTTGAAAAGGGAGTTTGATTCTGTAGGAAGATGCTGTGGGGTTGGCAGAGAGACAGATGCCAGCTAGACCTAGAAGCAGGATCTTTGGTATGGTGAAAAAATGTGAAATTATTCACTACAGGTTAGTAAGTAAGCACAAATTAAGTCTGTGTTTACCTTGTTGATTGGGCCATCTAACACTGATTTGAAATCAATCCGTCTTAACTCATGTAATAAGTCACTCTAGCAGTGAGTGGCTTATGGGAAAAAATGGAATGCAAAACTAATTGGTGATTTGCATACACATTCAGAGCTCCAGCAAAGCTTCTCAAACATGTTCACAAGAGTAGCCTAGCCCTCCTGTGCTGGAGAACAGATCAGGGTTGAGAGAAACAGGTGAATTTTTGGTCAAGTCTCATGCCTCATCTCATACACGTGAACATTGTAGCCGACCCTACAGCAGGAATTTGATACCTGTGGGAAAATAAGGCCTGCACCTTTGGGGATCATCTATCGACAAGAAAATCATAATATTTTCTTTTCTAAATATTTGCATAAAATTGATGATTCTGTAAGCTGCTCTTTGTTCATCCTTGACATGGGTGCCCTGAGGCAGAGCCTAGTGTGAGAAGGCCGGCTCCAGGCATTGTGTTTACGTCCACAGAAAGTCCAAAGCTGTCAGACAGGCTGCTGAGCACCAATGCTGTTGTTGTTGTTAAGTACTGTTGAGGCAGTTCTAATTCATAGCGACCCTGTGTTGGGTTTCCGAGGAGCAGCTGATGGATTTGAACTGCAGACTTTGTGGTTCATAGTCCAGTGTTGATCGTACAGTGCTACACCTGGAGTCCAAGTGCCAGTGTTTAGAGGCCTCAAAGAGATGGTCAGTTTGACTCCACTGACTGGTATCTGGAGGTCTGTGGATATAAACAGTTTACTGGTAGTGTAGTGGTTACGAATCGGGCTGCGAACCACAAGGTCAGCAGTTTGAAACTACCAGCTGTTCCGCGGGAGAAAGATGAGGCTTTCTGCTCCCGTAGAGATTTACAGCCTCGGAAACCCTGTACAGGGTCGCTATGAGTCGGAACTGACTCCACAGCACATAACAACAACAATAACAACTAACCGCAAGTCACAAACCAACCCAGCAGCACTATGGATGGAAAGTTCTGGCAATCTGCATTCATTGAGATTAAACCAAAACGTAAACCCAGTGGCATGGGGTCAATTGGGACTCATAGTGATCTATATGAGCCATAGTTAAAGGACAGAGTAGAACTGCTCCCTAGAGTTCCCAAGACTATAATCTTTAGGAATGCAGACTGCCATATCTTTCTTCCAATGGGTTCAAACCATTGACCAGTCAAGCACTTAACCACTGTACCACCAGGGATCCGCCATAGCGATTACAGCGAAGAAGACCCTATAGAGCAGTTCTACCTTTTAGTACATGGGTTCAGTCTCCATTGGTTGGAATCAACTCAACATCACAAGACACTAAGAAGTGAATATCTGGTGCAGTGGTAGAATGATCACCTTCAATATAGGAGACTCCCCAGCCACTCCTTGGAAACCCTATACAGGGTTACTGTGAGTCAGAACCAACTCGATGGCACGTTACAACAACAACATGTGGGAGACCCAGGTTCAATTCCTAGCCAGTGTACCTCAGGTGCAACCACCACACATGTGTCAAGGGAGGTTCCCATGTTGTTCTGATGCCAAACAGATTTCTTCAGCGCTTCCAAACTAAGACAGACTAGGGAGAAAGATGTTGCAATCTACTTCCAAAACTTAGTCAAAGAAAACCCGATGGATCTTAATGGTCTAATCCTATTATGAATGGGGTCACTATGAGTCAGAAGTTGTCTAGACAACCGCTAGCATTCACAAGTTAGTATCAGGTGAAGACTTCGTTTTAGAAAGATGTCATATTTGCCTAGATCCAAGCAGACAGCTTCTTCTTTGAGGGTCCAGGAATGGTTTCTGACAGAATGGAGACCAAGTTTCGGTTGGGAATCCACCCAGTGGTATGGTTGGGTCTTAATAGCTAAGTACAAAGCACGTAGTAAGAGCACAGCACTGACTGAGCTGCACTTGCTGGTGAATCACATGTTAATTCCATGTTTCATTGACTGGGTTACCAGGTCCTGGGCCATGTCGCAGGCCTAAGAAGCTAAATGATCACACTCCCTGGGTCCCTGGGTGAGACCAATGCAGATAAACAAAGAGCCATGTGTTGTGAAGATGTTCTACTAGTTGGACAGGCAGATGCTCTGAGAATCCAGCACAGAGCACCAAGCTCACTCATCCCAATGTGGTGCGGTCCTCCCTGGCTGCTTCTTGTCTGGTCCATCTCATCTGGTGTACCACAATGTCCTGGAGCCCTACCTGGTCTCAATGTCTCATTAACTCAAACTGATACAGCCATGGCCCCCCTATGCCCACTGGCAACTGCAAGGCCCCC